CAGGTCGATACCAACCCATCCACTATGACTTTCTGGGTGCGACCCTCTAGCCAATTCGTCACCCATCGTACTGTGTAGTCATCCAAGTCACAGCCTCTTAACTTGTTCACCAGTATGGGGTGGGATACCGTATCAAAGGCCTTCCTGAAGTCTAAGTAAACGACGTCAACCCCTACTCCTGCATCCAGGTGTTTTGTAACCTGGTCATAAAAAGAGACTAAATTGTCAGTTAAAAAAAAAAAAATTCTAGAGTTTGCAACTCTGCTTGGCTGCAGCAATGGTTTAACAGCATGCTGCCCCCACACATTGGTTCTCCTGACCATACTTTGCTCCCTGTGCTCCTGCTCAGATGCCAGGTGATGTGGCTCTGCTCTGCCTGCCTGATAACTCTTCACATCCACCCTTTTTTGGATGACAAAGCTTCAATCAAGTTCATGGTTGTTTAGTTTTTTAAGGACAGCTCTATTCTTTTATGGACTTTATAGAAAGGTGTTTTTAGCCTTTATTTTTACAGATGGTCCATACATTTTACAGACAGCTGGCAACCTGGTGAATGGAGTGGGTGTGGAACAGGCCTGAAACAGGAACAGGCCTCTGAGTCAGAGCAGGACTAATGGCCTGTAAAATATAATCATCCAGTCATCTTGAGAGCTGGGATGGTTTAACATTAGGAACCTTGTATAGCACCTTTTCCAAGCATGTTCCAAAGAAAAGCAATGCTCCTCACCCAAGAAGAGCCAATTTTTTTAAGAAGCCAAATAATGCAATCACATAGCTACAAGCAGATAACGAAAAAAAAAAAATCCTTTTAAGCGAATGAAGAAGCTACGGCCTCGTAAGGAGTGAACCACTGTTTGAGAACCATTAGGTCTTCACGTAAATGTTGAGGAAAGACTGTTGCATTTGGAAACAGTGACTGCATTCCCAAGGACACTTCACCTTCTGCTGGTACCAGTCTCTGAGAAGTGTGTGAAATTACTTCTGATCTATATGCTTTTATGATTTTTAGGACACAGCCAATGTAAGGAATATCTTGTGGGACATGTGTCTCCTGCTGA